GATTGAGAATCATGCTTATCATCATCGTCTTTCTTGTTCAAAACGCTCTCGACGTGCTCGCCGACCTTCTTAAGGAAATCCATGTCGGAAGAGGAGGATGAGGACTAATACCTCAACGAGCCTAGGTCTTGGCGGTGAGGCTCAAGCGCAAGATGGATAGAGGCTTTCAAAATAGTTTTACGAAGAATATGTCAAAGAATAAACCAACGTAGCCAAGAAGAAGTAGATTTTTAAGTAAGATTATGAGTTGTTTTCTTACTCACACGACGACAGTGATAAGCTGACGGACTGTAAGAAGACAGCTGAGCTTGGAAGCTCAAGTGGGGAGCTGATGACGCCGATGATGGCCACGGAATGCGGAGAGCCAATGAATGAGAGATGCCGTAAATAGGTACATCATCAGGGTTGACTGCTCTAGACAAATAGGGAAGCTTCGTATTCTCATTGGAACATTCATCGAGTTGCAGGGTTCTACACATGACACTCCCTCAGAGAGTCAGCAACTACTAACACAACTAGACAACTCACAACAAACAAACGTGAATCACAACCCATTTGTACAGTGACAATCACTCTCGTTTCATGTCTCTCCAAACACTGATTCAAGCTGATTTCACGCTAAACAGCATCCTACTGAACTGACAGCTTTATTAACTGCCGAAACCAAACCCCGGTAAAAGACTCTAATGCAGGGCAACCCATTGGGACAAGTAACTAAAAGAATCTACCGAACTCGCGTGTCCAGTTGTATAAGGCTCGTGTGAACTGCTGCTTAAACCCGATGAAACCTCTTGGCCTGCAACAACTCATCCAAGGATGAATAGCCGTGATAGCCTGTTTTGCTTCCTTGTATCAGACTCTATAACTGGCATGAGTTCAGTCAACTGATCATGATATCAACGCTGATATAAGGATCACTCAGCCTGTTTTCGACAACCGAGATTAACAGTGTGATTGTCCTGGATCAGCTACAGGTTTCCATGACTCGGTACCGGCCTGAACACCGAAGGATGAGCTGATAGAGTGGACTTTGTCACGATGTTATCCACGGAGTTGCAAGGAATATAGTGGACAGACAGTACAGTACATACCCAACAGTATGAAAGAGTTCCCGTTCTCCATCCGTCCCGTCCCGTCCTGTCTCGTTTCATCAACCCATCCATGAACTCACTAGCTTTCAGGCCTCAACTCTTAAGTTAGTTACCTACCCAGCCTTGATGGTCGGTCGGTCAACTCAACCAGCTCTGAAGCCATCGGCAAAGGCAAAAGGCAAAAGGCAAAAGCAATTCTCAACTGCCAGATTTGCATATGCGCCATTTTATTCCGACAATCTGTGGCAACCGTGGCGTGCAACCTCTTCACGATTGCTCCCGCAGACAGTGAGTGAAAGAAAGGATTCAATCCAATCCAGAGTCGTTCTGAGGGTGTAAAAGAGTCAACTTGGCTGTCTAACTAAGTCGACAGGGGAGGGTTGACTTGATGGGTTGCGGAGCCGTCAAACTTGTATGTACCTATGGACGCTAAAAAATCCACTGGGCACACAGCCCACTTACCGTCCAGTGCCTTCAGGGCCGCTGCAATTACCCGCCGGGACGGTAACTATGTACAGGGCAACTCCACGGGCTGATGGAGGGGACCATCTCAGGAACTGGAACCTGGAAAACTTCCATCTTTGCTAGGGCACCTTGTAACCCAACAACCTTGCATCCACGAGCCCAGCCAGCCCAGCGTTACCTTAGCTTGCAAGTGGCTGCAGGGGAGAAGGCGAATTTTTTTCTGGTTCACTGAATCACACTCACACGGACAGACCTAGAGCAGAGACCTCATCTTAAATACTGTAACTACCTAGTAACCTAACCTCTAAGGAGAGGCAAGGCAGGTAATCAGTCACGTTTTGATGCTCAGGTCTCTCTAACATCCATGGCTTTTTAACTCCCTAAGCCGAAATTCCCCGACCTCTTTTTCTCAACACTTCATCTTGCAATTCTCACATTTTCTGGCTTTCAACTGCTTATTTATTCACTTGAGCATCTGCCCAAGTTTGAACTCTTCAAGTAAGTCTACTACTACCACTACTACTAAGTTAGCTTGCACCGGGTTCGAGCTCCTAAATCGGATAACCCATAAGTTATCTCCCCTCATCGAGTTGCCTAATAAGTCAAGTCTCTGATAAATCTTGTACAGACAGAATTTCTACACCAGCGTTGACCGATATTTCACTGATCAATTTCAGTATCCCATTGCGGTTGGATACGTGGTCTACAATCCTGCAGATGCTTATACGACAAAGAAGCATTGTACACTGAGACACAACTTACCTTACTCTCTTGGAACCACTTAAACTCAAGACTCTCGACATAAGCTCGTCCAATCAACAAATATTCTCAAGATGACAGCTTCAGGAACAGTAGCTCTCTTCTCACCAGGGCAGCATGGACACCTGATACCCTATCTTGCAGCCATTCATGCCTCCTGTATCACTCACGACCGAACTATCGCAGAATTCCTCCCGCCCCTATCTCACGAGAAACTCCTTGCTTGGTGGAAAGAGCGAATTGCAGAGGTGGCAGACGGCAAACGGCTCATATTCATTCTCCTCAACGACTGCGAACCCGGAACTCGGCCGAATGGCTCCGATGTGGTGGGCGTTGTCATGTTAAACATGCCCTCTTCAGAAACTGGCCCATTCCGCGGTGTCGTTGAAAAGCTGCTCGTCCACAAAGCTTTTCGAGGTCGAGGAGGCGCCAGAACTTTGATTTCTGCTCTCGAAGCTGAAGCGACCAAGCGTGGGCGAACTATTCTGGTAAGTTCAATGTCCATCGCAACTATACTAACGAACGTTAGCTCTTCGGCATCTAAGTCCCGGTAACTAACAACTGCTTAGCTTCTCGACACAGAAACCGGAAGCCCAGCAGAAGAGGTGTATAAAAAGCTTGGTTATGTCGAGCTTGGCCAGATCCCAAAATATGGTCTAAGTCCAAACGGAGAACTTAAGGGCGGTACCTTCTTTTGGAAACATCTAACGTTGCAGTTCTGAGGAGCTATCATGGAGTGGTCGAGTGTGTCGAGCTCTTGTTATTGACAGGGATCGACTATTCGGAAGTGCTGTAGAAAATTCCCTTCATTGGAGGAAAACGAGGCGACTCGATATTGCTGTTCTTATCATGGACTATGGCTGGCGGGGTGCTTCGGTTTGTTTTCTAGATATCCATCCAATGTATGAAAATTTCACGACAAAATTGACATTGTACATGCCTGTATAAACTTGGGAAAATCTCGTACAAAAAAGAAACCGCTTTGATTGCTTTCCACTACACGGTAGATCCACGATACTGTTACAACTTCCAAAAAAAACGCCATCACCCAAGGTCACTTTTAGATGCCATCTACTCGTCATCATCGAGCTCTTCAACCCTTGGGGCCTCGTAGTGCCGTTGCTGCACACCACCAGTCTTGACCTGAGTATCCGTGCCAGTTGTAGTCGCACTTGTGTTAACTTGACCAGTAGCGGCTGCGAAGGCGGGGTTGGGGGTGGTTCCAGGGGCTGTAGACTTCTTCTTTTTCTTCTTCTTCTTCTCAGTCTGTATGTATGTTAGTGATTTGTTTCATTCTCTCGTAGTCTGATCAACTGACCTCGTGCCAAGCCCAAACGGGTCTGAAACTGTCCATGAAAGAAACGTCCTCCCACAAGTTGGGGAATAGCCACAGTCCAGGCGGTGTTGTGAAGTAGGTGATACAGAACAGGATAACTCGGAAGATGGCCATCAAGAAGAACAGTCCGAGCAGACCAAGGAGTCCCCAGCTGAGGTAGTAGACACCCTGGCGCAGCACCAGAGGCCACAGAGGGTACAAGACGATAGCAAAGATAGCAAGGAGTGCAAGACCGGCGTAGATCTTGCGCTTGAGCTGGCTGCCTTCCCACAGCCAGCAGTAGTACATATCTTCCTTTGCCTCTTGTTGCTGCTCAATCTTGACAGTCCACTGTCCCTTGACACGCTTGGGCTTCTTTCCGTTAGGGCCTGCCTGTGGTTCGACCTTGGAAACTCGGAGGGCAAGCATGCTTAGGGGCAACAACTTGAATGTGTTCTCGAGAGAAGCTCTGTCGGTGATTTCGGGGAGAAGAGGGTTCTTCTTGCGGGCTTTCTCATATGCGGGGGACTGGAGAGCTCGGAGGGCTCGCTTGACTAGGTTGAGTCAGCTTCTGATTTGGAAGAGATTGGTGCCATGTGGCCTACCTCGAAACATGTCTTTTCGCTCGCCATTCAAAATCACAGTTCTGGGCTTGAGATCCTGGCCTCGGAGGAACGAGGCAAGAGCAATAGCCTTGGGGTTGGGGGGTCCTGGCGTGATAGGCTGAGCGCGACCCTGCTGGGGAGGTTGACCGTGATCATGAGAATGGCCGTTGTGGTCGTGGTCGTGATCATGACCTTGCTGTTGCTGTTGTGCGCGCATTCTCATTTGCTCTTGCGCTTGTCTCTTGATATGCTCAATAAATTCAGGGACAGTCATGCCGTTCTTCTCAGCATCGATGGCGAGTTGGCGCTGCATTGCCTGGATCTGCTCGGGTGTAGGTCGCTGCCCAGGTTGCGGCATGGGAATTTGCCCAGGCTGGGGGCCTGGCTGAGGAGGTTGCTCAGACATGGTTTACTGCAAAAGTCAATGTGAAAAAGAGTGTAGAGAAGAAGTCTATCGGGCTAAAGAATTGGATGAGAGAGACAGAAGCGCACGAAGGCGAAGTAAGAGATGTGGACTTGACAGGTTTAAGAAAGAGTGTACCTGGTGTTGCTGCCACTTGGACCATGCCGTGCCAATCATGTCATAGCTCGCCCAGAGACAACGGTGTTCACTTCCTTCCATCACTGAGCTCCAGAATTTCCGGGGCGGATTGTTGATTCCCCGACCTCCGGCAGATCTCCACGTGACAACCAAGTCAGTGTGAGATTGAGCCTTGAAGCTGTAATTCATCAGAATTGCTTTGTTAAGAACTTACAGGCAACATCATGAGTGATCGATTAACACAGCTGCAAGATGCTGTAGATCAGGTACGTCCATATTACATCTCATAATATTATTCTGCTAATGAATTATACAGCTGGCCACACAGTTCGTTGCATGCCTTCACTATGTCAACAAGCGACATGACCTTGAAACACTTGGTCCTAATGACAAAGTTCGTGAAGTGAAAGATGCTCCAAAAGAAGGCATGCCCAAAATTTATGATCTCTTTGAAGCGAAGCATGCTAACTTTCTCAGTTGATTCGCTTCCTCCAGATGAGTTTCGAGCTGGTATGGTAGAGTTGTCACAGGATCTCATTGTCAAAGAGCAACAAATCGAGGTCCTCATCTCATGTCTACCTGGCTTAGACAACAGTGAGATGGATCAGGAGAGGTACATCAAAGAGCTGGAAGAGGATTTGAAGGTCGCTGAAGCCCAGCGCCAAGAAGCAATCAAGGAGAAAGACCAGATTTTGTCTGAGCTTGACAGTGTTATTCGCAGCATACGACGGCCATAATTACGGGTTCAGTCTGTTTTTGAGACGCTTATTGATTCGCAGCGCGGAGTTAAGGGTACGAATAACCAAATGGAAGGCTGGCAGCCCGTGCAAAGGAGCATTTTATTATTTATGTTGAACCCCCATAATACAAAGGTATCTCAGCCGAGTGAGCGCCTTGAACGCCACCGTCTAAAAACTCTACCATATACCATATAATCTCCTTTAATCCGTGACCAACTTCAAATGCCATCATCTATGCCTTGTTTGAAGTAGATTTGAAGAACTGTGGGTAGACATTCCGTAGCTCTCGCAGATGCTGGATTTGGTATTGCGAAACAGGGGTCTTGGGAGCTGGCACTCCCTCCTCAACGAGATGAGCTGCGGTCCAACCAAATTTCTTGGCTTCTGTGCAGTTCAAGGCAGAATCATCTAGAAGGGGTTAGATGGAGGTATGAGTAACAGCGTGGGGGAACTCACCAACAAAGTAACAATCCTCTACACGCTCGACGCCTGCTTCGCGCATGGCCTTCTCGTACATGCGGGGGTCCGGCTTGCAGAGTAACGGTTGTTCCGCATAGTTGCAGTATGTGAGACCATCGAAAATATGCTCGATGCCCAGGAGGCGGACAACCTTCTTCCCATGGTTCACATAGGCGTTGGTGAAAAGCCACAGAGTAACCTTGGACTTGTCGATGTCCTCTAGGAGCTCGCGTAGCTCAGGGTTGGGCTTGATGATCTCTTCGAGGGGTAAAGCATCGTCCACTTTGGCGTTGTAATCCAGGGGATCGATTTGGTGATGGCGCACCAACCCCTCAATAGCGAGGCCATAGTTGGTGTAATACTCTTTGTGCAGTTTCACAGCCTCATCCCATGGGATCTCCAAGTGTTTGGAGAAGTACTCATCAATGAGTTTAGCCATTATGTCATGGACTTTTGTGCCTTTATTCACTGTTAGTCTTAAGTAGTCATAAACACTAATTCAAGTGTAAGCTTACTCCTCGGATAGAGACAGTTGTCAATATCGCTGCAACAAAGTTAGCTCAAGCATATGGGAGGTGGATATTAAAAACACTAACAAGAATAGGACCGGCTTTCCCGAGTTCATGTCCTGAGTACTGCCCATAGTGAATTTGGCACGGGTCTGAATATGGAGGTTGGGGTTGTTGTTGGTGGTAAAGCGAGGATAGCGAGATGTGAGATTCGAGTTGAGCAATAAAGATGAGGCAACTAAAGGTTTTGAGAAGCGCTTCAATGATGATACTGCGGTAACACGTGGTCGTAATTGGTACATTTAATGGCTATGAGGAGGAGAGAGACGGTTTAAATAGAATTTTATAGGGAATGGCGATCTGGGCCAAAAACGCAAGGCTAGTAATCAATCGCTTCCTTGGATCAACTCTGCAGTATCCGCCGTAGGACATCGTCGGTATCCGTCCGTCGATGCGCTACGTTTCACCCAATGACTCTTGCGGTGTGGCTGAATAATGAGTGAGCAAAGTTCAGCGCGGATCGTCTTCCGGTCTCCGATCGCGGGACTGTCATTCTGTCACTAGTTGCTTTTGGAAGCATATGAGTTGTTGTTGAGCAAACATTCGAGGACTTTCATGGAAGACAAGCCCTTTGTTTGATTGAATCTCCATTTTAAAACACGTGTGAATAGATCATAGGACTTGAGCTTTAAGTTTATCATGACATGAAGCTTCATGGGCTTACAGGAGACTGTCGAGCCACACGTAATTGTGGTCGTTGACTCTGTAAATGATCCATGCTTAGGTACAGGGAGTTCATCACGAGCCTCAGGGTTCGGATACTAAATTACAGGATAATGCGATAAATACAGGGGCTTTAAACCAGTCTAACTTACTGAAAGCTTGAATATTAGTCTTTGGTCTCTTCAAGGATCGAATTTGTATGACCACAAGTGTCGTGTTCTCGATATTGAGGCTCAAAAGGCCAGTCCGTGTAAGAGCTATGACACTAGCACATGACTACCTACCTATCAACCAATGCCGCCCAAGTCAGAGTTGTAACAAATTTAACGAAATGATTCCAGATGATCAGTTGCCTAGCTACAGAGGAAATACAAAATATATTTCAATAATTGAAAATTCAATCTCGTCTCATGTTACTACTCTCATAATAACTTTTGGAAGACCCTGTCGTGAAAGAATTCTGCCGCGTACACCGCCTAAATTGTTTGCCTTTCGCGTCCACCCGAGTCGACCTGAGGCGCCAGTGGCTATCCCTAAAAACCACTCCATTAATTGCACAGACCTCCAACATCAAAGCTTCCATTTCTTGAACAACAGCCAAAACAGCGCATTTACATTTTGATCAGTAGTTCTCTTTGGTCCGCGTCATATCGCGTCAAGAGTGGCGTTGTCCGTCGGGCTTATTACCCAACACTTTTGTTGAGCTAATTTGCTTGGAGTTGGTTCTATTGCTTGCTTGCTTGCTTGCTCCCTTTTTTCTATTTTAATCGGGTGTCACCTGGTGACGCGACGTGTACATTTCACTCGCCGCCATCATGGCACAAGAGATTGCTGTTCAGGGGCCTCTTGCTAGTAGGGATGAGCTTGCTGGTCTTGCTGAGAAGCAGCGTCATCAGATCGAGCAGTATGAGAAGATTGTACGCTTCTCTACGACTGTTCTCTCTGGTAAACATCCGACTATCAAGGTCCCCTCTAACTTTATCCCTTCCACACAAACTTCCATCCATCCGATAGATATTTCCACGCAAGATGGATCGCCGAGTCATCAGACAGACGCTCAACGGCAAACCATCGCGAACGAAAAGCAAGCAGAAGCAGATGTGTCTGCTACCAGCAACAGCAGACCATATGGAACAGGATCTACTGAGATCAACCCCATCTTCCTAGAGAAATCTGAGGACTTGGTCAAAGCAGAGTTGAAACTGCAGAGACAGAGGCTCGAACGTGCTCTGAGAGACGAAGTTGATCAGAGACGAGTAACTGCTAAGAGCGTGGCGCAAGGGGAGCCTGTCATCGAATTCGATCTTAACGAGGTCTTGACGAAAGCCTTGACGCTTGTGGAAAGCAATGCTGGTCCCGACACTACTGCTGCTGATGCTACTAACATTGACAATGCAAGTGATTCCTTCGATGACAACACTTTCTACTCGTCGCAGCACAACACTCCATCCTCCGTTTTAACTTCCCGAGTCCGTAACGAGTCCGAAGAGGCACAAGTACCCGTCGCGGAATCACAGCCAAAGATAAATAGCCAAAACGCTCCCATTCCGCAACAACCTCCGACTGGTTTTGAGCAAGTCCCTCCGGGGCCCTACGCACCGAGACACACTAGACCTCAAGAAGCCTACACAAATCCAGACCCTTTTGTCGGTTCGTCGAGCGTTAACAGTACTTCACGGCCTGTCCATGTCCCTGGCCTTGCTACTTATAATGCAGACAAGACGGCACCTAGGCAGGATAGAAGTGCCAGACAAAGTCCTAGTAATGGGGAGAGCGATAGGCGTAGACTTGATTACGGATCAGCCTCTCGACAGCCTCCTCGTGAACACTATATTGACAGCCGTCCCCCTTCTCCTCTGATCAGACCACATGAGAGATCGCTTCAGAATGCGCAGGCTTCGCCATTAATGAATACTAGGCCACGACCTCGGGCTGCCGAAGCGACGTCGACTTCGTCCACTGGTACTCCCGCTCAAGTTGCTGCTCTTAGGAATGAGCCAGTCGCTATCACTAGTCCAGAAAGCTCGCCTCAAGGCGGTGCATCGGATAGGCGGAAAGCAAAGAAGAAGAAGAGAAAGGCTGACAGGCAAGCGCCCGAGACTGAACCAATGCCTTATATCAAGGCTGAACCTAGATCTCCCTCCCCTATGAATGCCCCTTCCTATATTCGTCCCAATAAACGTCAAAGGTACGCTCAGCAACAGCCAGATGAACCTGTCTACGAGGAAGTCCGTTACGAGCCTCGCCCGGGCCTCTATCCCCCAGAACCTGTGCCTGTGCATAATCGTCAAGAGCGAGATGATCGAGTGCCGATAGGCTATGACACAGTAGGCTTTTCATCACAACGTGCAGCGAGCACCACTGTTCCTGGAACTGCTGTCTATAGGAGAGAATATGCCGATGATCGATACGTTCCTGGTGGACCGTATCCCATTGAACAGGCCCCACATGCTCCCCCTCCTCACCAGAGGCTGTCGATGGGGGGAACAGTAAGCTCCCAAGTTCGACCTAACGACGGTTATCCGCGCCCATCGTGGCCCTATGCTGGAGCACATGAAGCATCACCTACAGGCTTGAGACCAGAAGGCGATGTGTTCATGGCACCGCAAAGGCCGCCGCCAACTCGAATTATCGTAGATGCTTATGGACGTGAGTATATTGAGCCACCACGTTCGACGATCATCCGGCACTCCGCAGTTCCTCCCGCTCGATCCGGCGAGCCCGAGATCTTTTATGAACGAACTCCGGTTCGGAGGCCCCAGGCGATGGAGGCGTATGAAGAAGGCGGGGCAGTCTACAGGAGACGTTCGCCATCGTATATGCCTAGGCGGGTCGTCACACAACCTGAGTACGTTTCGCAGGATTACAGGGACCATAGGCCACGCGAGCATTCAACACGGCCAATAGGTCCCTCAGGGGAATTCGTTGAGGTGATGGCACCTCCAGAACGAAGACGTATAGAAGACGGGACGAGAGATTATATTGCAAGGCCGACCAGCGTGCGACCAGCAGAGCCTGTTCGGTATGAGGTCGCCCGGGACTACGGCCGTGTGCAGAGCGTGCGACCCGAGCCACCTGTGCGTCAATATGCCACAAGCGTCCACCCTGAGAGCCGCCGTGAGGCTGTACAGCCTTACGCGCGGGAATACGGTGCCATTGCTGCAGAACCAGGCGTTGTGAGACAGGAGCACAGCACGCGGCCGGTGGAGCGGTACTACAATCAACCGATGAGAGGTGGGGAGGAGATAGCTTTCATTGAGAGGCCGCGAGGGGCAACGCAAGAGATTGTTTACGCAGATGATGCGA